GCTAATTTTTTGATTTATTGTAGAGATGAGGTCTTGCCAAAGTTGCCCAGGTGGGTCTCAAACCCGCGGGCTCAGGCAATCCACTCACCTCAGCCTCCCAAAGTGCTGGGATTACAGGTTGAGCCACAGAGCCCGACTTCCTCTTTCTTATTGGTGCATGACCTTCATCCAACTGACCAGGCAAACCAAACCTGACCACCCTGCAGGCTGGAATGTGGATCTCCCAGTGCAGTAAATCACAGAAACAATAAGGAGTTACCCAAAACACAGACATGATTTTCTAAGAAAAGACCAATTAGGCAATAACTTTAATTATTTAGAAATTCCTTGTAACCTTAGAAAGTTGAGAGATGGTGACCAGACACCGGCAGCCCACCTCCCTTAGCTCATAGACGGTGAGATGGTGATCAAAACTCGTGATCAGTTACCTGGAACCCACTGCTCTTAGCTCATGTTGTCATTGTTGTAAAAGTATATATAGCTTGTCAAAGGCAAGCACGTGTCTTTTCTCTTAAGATGCCCATGCCCCTGGGCATGTCTATTTCTTTTTAATAAATTCTGACTTAAACTAGGGACTCACTCTGAAATGCTTTTCTGGGATGGTGTCAACAAACCCCACCCCACTCCACCCAGCATCACTAGTATTCAGCACAGATAGTGGCCCATAGCAAGCACTCAACAAATATTGACTAAATGAGTAGATGAGTGGAAGTATGAATAAGTATTTTCTTATTGAGTGAATGAGAGGTGCAAAAATGAAGGAGTGAATGACCCTGGCTTTGCAATCAAAGGATCATTCAGTGATGGCAAGGAATCAGATGGACAACCAAAGGCTCCCAGGCCAGTCATGTTGGAAATTCACCATTTTATCCTTTGGGATCACTGGGAAGAGATGGAGACAGGTAACCTTTGGTGATGGAGGCTTGTTTCCAAGATTTGTGGGAATGTGGGTCTAGCACAGTCATTAGTCTCAGGACCAGTGGTATCTGACCCAACTGATCTTCATGAGAGTCAGATAGTGTCATGGTCAATATTCTGGAGCCAGATGAGCTGGGGTTCAAATTGTGATTCTGACATCCACTGTCTGTGTGACCTTGGGCAAGACACTTAACTCCTCTGTGCCTGCATTTCTTCATCTGCCAACTAGAATAATAGGAGTGTGGCATGGATGAAATGAATTAACGTGATTGAAGTGCTTAGTGCTGTGACAGACACAGAGTAAGCATTATGTAAGCGTTCACTTTTCATTTTTATTAATCGAATGAATGCACAGACGAACCATTTCAAAACCAGGAGGTACAGAGAGAGCTTCACAAAGAACCGGGAAAACAGTGTGTGTGGGACAACATTCTGCATTCAGTTATCTGCCTCTCCCTTGTTTGTTTAATGCTTTGGCTTTTCCAACCAGAGGATCGCTTTGGGGATGGCACACCTCCATGGGGCAGAACTTAGACCAGGCTACCTGCAAGACACCTGGGGAAGCTTTCTTGTGCCAGACCTACATAGGAGGATTTCGGGTCCCATATGGTTCTCTGGTGAAATACATTAAGGCTGTGGGTGTGGGTGCAGTCTGACCCATTCTGGCTGATTTTATTTTATTTTATTTTGTTTTGAGTTGGAATCTCACTCTGCTGCCTGAGCTGGAGTGCAGTGGCATGATCACGGCTACTGCAGCCTCAACCTGCTGGGCTCAAGTGATCCTTCTACCTCAGCCTTCCAAGGTACAGGTGTGCACTGCTACACCCAACTAATTTTTTAAATTTATTTATTGTAAAGATGAGGTCTCGCCATATTGCCAGACTGGTCTTGAATTCCTGGGCTCAGGCAATCCTCTCACTTCAGCTTCCCAAAGTGCTGGGATTACAGTCATAAACCACCACTCAGCCCATTCTGGCTTCTTACTGGCTTAACATACTTATACCAGCACACTGCTAGTATATAATACCATTATCTGAGTTTTGAAATTGGTGCAGATCATTGCTTAATCCAGCCAACTTCTCCTCATTTCCACCACTCAACCTGTTTTGATTCTCTATATCAGCTTCCAAAACTCACCACTAGTTCCTGGCTTTGATGATTCATTTTGGACACTTCTCTAGCCTGGCATGTGCCTGCATTTGAAGAATAGGTGAACTATCTTCTGCCCTGCTTTTT